CTCTATAAGTTCTATTTGCTTCCAACATGTTGCGGTTCCTTCTTCGATAGAGAAAATACTCCTTCTTTATTATTTAAATGTTCTTTTTCTTTTAAAGAACTCCATCTCTTTCTTGGCTGTACCACTATAAATTTCATGTAAACATACTTCTACTGAGTCCTTTGCTGATCATTTTCCTTTTCGTGTCTGTCGGCCAGGTCATAACGATCAGTATCAATGACACTGCAGGTCAGAGTGGGATGCGTCATGGCACGACACACACCAAGCAGTTCCAAAGAGTGTGTTAAGTTTCAAAATATTCTCTGAAAGCATTAGGACCATTGGGATTTTAATGGCTGTTTACCTGAAAAATGGATCCCAGAACTAAAGTCAGGTAACTGTAGAGAATGATGTTTATAAAAAGTTACATAGATGGTCTGTTTTGCAGAACTCAGAACCTTTAATAAGACAACGGTGCTAGGAATCCACGAGCGCAGGGTCAGGTGGAGACACTACTGTATTTTCCAAACTGGTGACCAAGGCAGCACTTCTCCCCAGATAAGCTGATAAGACTGGTGTTCTCATGAGTCACACTTTGAAAAGCACTGACTAGAGATTGAGACTCCCAACAACCCAAGTAGGGACTGTTTTTACGCAAGCAAAACAACTAACTGACTGATTCGCCCCCACTCTGGCATAATAGGCTAATGCCTCCTTTATAGATTCACATCATCTTCATTTCTGAGTCCACATTTTGCATGTGGTTCATTTCCTGATATTATGTCTCAGAAAAAAACATAATCATTTTAGCCCTTTGCAATGTCTGTGCTCCTACAATCTTATTAACCAGAGGAGTGTGCTGCTGCTGGTTTGGAATTTTATTTTGTCTGACAACAGGAAAAACAGATCAAGAAGACTCCCCTGCTCAGCCTGGTAGACTTTCAAACATGGAAAAAAAAAAAGGAAGGATGGAAGAGAAGGAGGGAGGGAGAGAGAGAAAGAAAAGAAAAAAAGAAGGAAAAGAAAAGAAAGAAAGAAAGAAAAAAACAAGTTCCTTACGGAAGGGAGGCCCAGATGCACCCAGGAAGGTCGGGGTGTTACAGAGCCCTTTTGGGACATCCACTGGGAAACCTGACTGCTGCAGCTGAACACACTGTGTTCAGGAGAACCGAACGTGAAAGGTTCACAATCTCAGAACTTTGCAGAAGAAAATGAGCTTCTTAAAACACACGTTTAAGTATCTCTTTAACTCAGAGAGCAAGGGACACTTCCAATAGTAAGAATGTAAAAAGAATCAACAGCAATAATGCCTACTTGTCCTATGAAGAAGAGTAATGAGACATCTAGAATCTGAGCAGGAAGAAGGGACGGGAAGGAAGAAAGCCCACATCTCACTAGGTATTTGGGAGGAGGTAAATAGTAAGTTATATAATTTGTCACTTTGAGGAAGGACCCAAATTTCAGAAAGATTATGGATAAGAATCAATTATAAAAGGTTACCTGGACCAGTGTTGAGAAATTGGTAACTTTCTAGTGCGAGTATGACATAGTTTATAGTCTACATATGACACTTTTGAGTATGAAAAGAACTATTCAAGACAGTTAATGCTATATATATCTTTGAAATATTATTTATTGACCAACACACAACAGTTTTATTATACTGGTATTATTAAAATGTTTCTAAACATAAAATTCTTCCTAAAAAATAAAACTTTCATATATCTATATAAAGAAAATAAAAGAGCAGGATCTTTCTTGATATGTCCATGCATTTTAGTTATGTTCTTATCCATATCTGTTTCTAATATCATATCCCTGACATTGTTCAGAAGACTGTATTTTTTTCAGTATGCACATATTATATATTTCACTATTTCATAAAATTGCCTGCAATATTCCTCAAAATTGCATTAGCTATTTTAGGTTAATAAATGTGAAACTTAACATTTTCAATTGGGTCCTTCTTTATAGACCTTAATATTTTTAACTGAAAAATATTCTCTCTTTCAGGGGCTAAAATACCTGGTAAGCCCAAAACAAATTCTGCTAAATGAAAGATATTATTATTTTTTCAAATGCAAATTTGTAAATATTTCAGCTCAAATATTTTCATAGGAACTATCTCATTTATCAGTTCTTAATATTATTCTTTCACAGATACTTTTAGGAGACAAAATTCAAGATTGGTAGATTATCAAGCTTGTCTGAACACAATTATGATTTATGTGTGAGTCACAACTAATTGCAAGAACATTTCTGCTCCATAGGCTTCTTAATTTAATAAATGTTTTACCATGTTACTGTGCACTATCAAGCACTACATATCATTACCACAAAATATTTTTATTTTCAACATTTTTAAAGAAGTAAAAACATTTACTACAGTATTCAGAATGATAGATATATTTCACTTTATTAAAATGAACTATCAAAAGCTTCACGTTGATTCCATGATATAAAAGAGGGGAAAGCTAAACCATCACTTGTTTGCGAAGATTTCCTTCTGCTAAGGGAGTTAACAGATTAATAGCTATTATTTCTTTCTTTCTTTTTGTACCTGCAGAAGAAAAATTGGAATACAAAATGAACTAAATTAACTTGGAACGGAAGTCACTTGATCTAAGTGAAAAGTCATGCTTCAAAAGTAATATAAAATTGTAATTTCTGCAGCTACCCTTGCTGAAATGTCATCTTTGGGCACAATCTTCTGAAGGTAATAGCTAACTTTTGAAGTAGATGCTGATACTTCTTCAGCAGATCTGTGTCTTTTCAATTTTGTATGGTTGATGATAAAACCTTGGCTACAATGACAGATGCTAAATATCCACAAGCAGTTTTGTACAAGTTATACATTACCATTCACTTTCTTAAGAAACAACAATTCAGTATTTTTTTTGTTAAATATACATCTGCAGAGTTTTTTTTTTTTAAGCTTATTGTGGCCGAAAGAATTTACTCCAAAATAAAACCATTATCAAACAATAAAACAGTAATAAATTTAGACCAAACAATAGATGATAAAACCATTGAAACAAAAGCTTGCAGACCATCATGGCAAGACTGCTGAACCTTGATTTTCTACATACATTTCCCAAATACCCAACAACCTTCCACTGACCTTGCCTGTTGAAGATCTGATGTGTTAGTGGACCTCACAGCTTACAGACCAGAGCACAGCAAGACTGGCTAATAACAAATGGGTGATAAAGGCAGCAGCAACATATCCTTGTCTGTCACCCTAGACACTGGAAGGAGTTGGCTGTCCCTAGTAGCTCCTGTCCACGTTTATTCCACATTAGCAGTGAGGGCCCACATGCTGTCTTTGAAAGAGAGATGCAGTTACACTGCATCTGGGAAGGATTCGGAAGAGTTGGAATATCTTTCTGACTTAACCAAGTGCTAAAGTGAGAAATCTGTTCAACTGCATGGGCAGGATTTGGAAATACAGAGTGAAAGTCTACCAAATCCATCCTGGCTTATTTTAATGCCGCTATTAACAAGAATGCTTCATTGAAAAATAAGTAACTGGAACAAACACTAAACTGGTGGGATGCTGGGCCAAGAGGTGTAAACCACAAGTGTCTCAGGCACACTAGGACTCGGGGTCAACCTCTGTCTGGAGAAGACCTGGGCTGGGGAAACAAGGGACTAGTGAGCTGATGGTTTGTGGACCTGCTTGGTCTAGTACAAACAATCTTTTTAAAGCGGACAACCTCTAGAATTGATAACAAGACAAGAGGCCATAGCAAGTAAGCTCCTATCTGCCCCTCACTAACGTCAGTAATCATGGGACAGAGCATAATTCCCTATGGAAGTGAAGAATATTCTATGTCCTGTAATGCCAAAACTACCTACCTACCTACATACCTACCTAATGAACTAAGTTATGTTAAAGAATAGAAACTGACCAGATTCATATTACCTGCCTGGCCCTGAAGAAATCTGATTTTGCACCCCACCCTCCACTCTCAACCCCCTGCAGAGTTTGGCTAATTCTTGCATTCTTTTGTGTGACAATGAGGCTTATATACTCCGCATAAGAGGAACTGAGAATTACACTGAATCTGACTCCCACCGGCAGGCATTTTCTCAGCTTCCTGGTCAGGATCCCCTGAAAAATGTGCACCTGTGATTTCCAGCATTTTCCCCTCACCATCCCCTTAAATTACGTCCTAGAGCTGTGGTTACACTGAACCGTGAATACTTGTGTTGTGAGTTCCAAATCACCCCAGTCTAACCAAAGGGGCCAGGGCATGTGTTAGAGAGCAAACAATACCACACGGTTTGGGTTGTTAAGGGTGGTCGTGATTATCACAAGGTGCAGAGCACAGTGAGTTACTACGGGCTTGTGGTTTTGGAGTCAAACGCTGAGTTTCACCCATGCTCCTATTTACTTGCTTTGGGGCTTCTCTAGGCTTCAATTTTCTTAGCCCTAAATTGAGATAATGATACCTTCAGCATAGCACTGTCGTAAAGCTTAAATGTAATACTATACATGAAACAGCACAGTAACAAACACACACTAAAGGTTCAGTATAGAGCAGCAGCCTTTAGTATGTATTTCAGATACGATCCAAGGGGAATTATGGTGAAATATCCTCAACACAGCCCTTTTCTTACGTTCAGTGAGCCAACCCACTGAGGGGTTTCAACTTTGGGGAATATAAAATATAAAATTTCTATATACCAACATGTTAAATAGCACTAACAGTGTGATACGTCAAGGAAATGCTATTTTAAACTCTTGTTTAAATTATGGGTTATACATTTTTTATACAGAAATTACAGTGACCACTGGTGATTATTTTACAGTTAAAGTTGTTTTTCCAAAGAGCAGTATGTTGACTTTATTAACATACAATATTTTTTCTCCATAGGTAAACCTAAATCTTATTATACTGTATTCACCTCAATGTTGAGTTTTCAAAACATGCCAAGATCATAACTTGACTAAAACCTTTTCTAAGGCACCCAAATAGATGTGCATGAAGATTTCACCAGATATTGTATCTCCAGACACGCTCTTCCCCTTAAATTCTGATGAGATTTCCACGGAAAGCTGAGAGGCGACGTGGCATGGGTCATGAAATTAAACTAAACCAAATCCATCTTTGTATAACTCCAGAGGACTGAGCATTTCCATTGCTTTTTCAGGAAGTAAAAATGCATATTGCCTCTTTTATGTGTTCTCAGCTACGTATCTATTTTTGAAAAGCTTTCATGTAATTTCTAAATTTAGCTCCTACTTCCTTTTTACTGTGCTGTCTGAGCTACAATCCAACTCTGATAACATTCTGATCTTCACTCCAAGGAACCTCTATAGAAGCCGAACTCTCAGGAGGAGGATAACCTGTCGTTAACCTCTTCTGTGCTTGCCAAGGGCAGCACAAGACGACCACTTTCTTCCCTTCTGCAGTTCCCCAGGGCACCAGCTACCTACTTTTTAAAATTCCCTTCCCCTGGGAAGGGGAAACATCACCCTTTCCAGAGCCTCAGTATCTTTTATCAAAACAACCTCTTGCTAGGAAAATGAGCTAAAGGAAGAAACTCCTCTCTCTTAACCTAAGGCAGAAGACAGAGGGGGAGAGAAAACAGAAAGAAAGAACAGTAGAGAAAGAGCTGGTGTGCTGGAATGAGGTTAAAAACAACGGTGTACATATGGATAGGAATTTCAGAATAGTTTACCTGGATGAGCTATCATTCTATGAAAATGTTACTTTCTTTTTATTTTCTGTTCATTAGGATCAGGTTTAATAAGGACGAGTTATACAGAGACTTAAAAATGTGGTATGAGGAGAAAATGTCAAGTGATACAGTCATTGCCCATTATCTGCGGGGAGACTGGTTCCAGGAGCCCCTTGAATACCAGACGCCACGGATGCTCAAGTCGCTGATACAAAACGGTGCAGTACAATGAAGAGAGCTGGCCCTCCATATCCACGGGTTTAGCACCCACGGTTTCTGCACCCGGGGATTTAACTGCGGATAGGGAGGGCCTACTGGATATTTAAAATATTGGGCAGAAACAATCTGAGTGTGCAGCCAGTAAACGCAGCACAGGAGTCTACGTTTCTGGAAGAAATCATTAGTCACAAGTAGCAGCAGCCCTTAATTAAAAAGCTAACCCACAGAGCTGGTGAAGGAAGGCTGTGTAGGGGAGACTCAGTCTTCCAAGAATCCTATCCATCCCCCCATTTAAGCCTTTCCTAATTATTATCTTCTTGAGGCATTTATAGTCTTCATAAAACACTTGTTGGGCACCAAGCCACACACCGCCGGCTATGTAAGTGCTCTGTGTTTGTATGCATAGAATTCCCAACAATGCTGTAAGTTACTTCATGTCAGGGACTGTCTAATATTTCTTACATTCTTACATTGTAGTATTTCTTACAATGCTAGGGCCACTCAATAAATATTCTACAATGGAAATAAACTTTCTTCCTCTCTGATCTATTTGTCCAGAAATGCGATCTAGCAAGACTGAGGATAAGAGGAAATAATGACCAGTATCAGACAGAGGAAGCAGTCCTGCCTAGGAAGTTAGCATGTCTGGCAGGGCCTCTGGTTGATCTTGGACTAGTCTCTCTTAACCTGCATAGGTTAAGTATTGACTTCTGTAACTGAGTTGTTGAACTAGAGAGAGGCTGAGGTGCCTTGCCCTTATGATTATACATTCAAATATAAGCTGGGGTGAAATTACAATATTTAACCAATGGTATGGCACGGACACTGGTCAGACAGAACCGAGCAGGGCTCTGGGCTTCCCTTGTCTTGCCTCCCATCAACATTTTAGCTCCCAGACCACGAAAAGGTCAGGAATGTCCCAGGTGCTGGGGTCACTCAAGGATCTTGGAGGCAGTGGCTATATTATAATTTAAAAAAACTTTTAACACCGGTAGAGTGAGTCATGGGTAAGGGCTGAATATCAACTCAAAGTATTATCTTTGAGTCATAAACGTGTTAATACTATTCAAAAGTTATTATCCTTATCTGATGGTGCAGAACTGCTTAGGAGCTGGTAATAAAGTGGGAATGGAAATTCCCACCACCACCATCAATAATAGGTCTTTTTGATTCCACTTCTTTGCATACTTCTAACTCAACTCTTTTTTTTTTGAGGTAGCCATTCTATAACTCCCGGCTTTTCCTCAATAGCATGAGTTCACCTTGCAATGAGGAGCCCAAACCATGCTCTGTTCCCTGCTTTGCTCAACAAACAAAGCCGTCACAAACAGATTTAACAACAACCTTGGTCTTACAGATGAGGGAAGTGTTATTTTTTGTTCACAATAAAATTCCCTATGACCCGCAGCAGCAGTAACAGTCCTGTCTGAGGACGGAAGCCGCTCTGGACACAGCTGCAGCTCATGGGATGCCAGCAGCCCTGAGAGTCCAAGAGCATGACACAGAATGGGGGGAGGGGTGATGTAACCCGTGCACTAAGCAGTACTAAGTAATCCTTAGTGGTACTGAGTATTAGTACTTGGCTGAACACTGGAATCACCTGGGGAACTTTAAAAAACACCCATGTCTACATCCCACCCTTGGAGGTTCTGATTTAACTGGCCGGGGAAGTGACCAAGGCTTTATAATGCTCCCCTAGGTGGCCTAACATTCAGCAGTTAACTGTCCGCCAGGTCCACCAGGTGCAGGAGGGAACTATCCAAACCTACGTGTTTAATCTGAAAAGGAGAAAGAAACTAAGGTTTTTTTGTATTTAATATATGGAATAACAACAGCGCCATCATCCTTCTGAGGGCCGCATGTGGTTTCCAGGAGTCTCACTCCCTGGTTCATTTTCAGCGTGTGTGCCCTGGTCAGTAATCTACAGCCGCCACTCTCTGAGAGAGAAGACTCCTGACGCCGGTGTATAACGAGAAGGGAATGCTCAGGAAAGCATTTTGAGCCATGAGGCTTCCCAATTATGTGAAGGCAAACTACTTACAAGAATTGTAGAACTCAAAGAAGAGTTGCACATTTTTCTTTTATAAAATGACAAGTGTTCCAAGTATGCTGACTTTTTTTTTTTTCTTTTGGTCACGGCAAGGGGCTGACGGAGCAGCTTATCTGGCTGATACTTTTATAAAAATAAACATAGTTAATCTATCTCTTCAAGGCCAAAGAGCATTTCAACAGTGAGTGAGAGAGAAACTGTGAGGAAACTTGAGCTGTGGCAAGAGCACATTTGAAAATGGGTATTTGTAAATGTTCCCATTGTGATGTGATTCTGCTATTAAAGCCAATGTCAGATGTGACAACAGGAGAAAAAAAGAATACTATCTTATGTGTAAACTTTAAAACCTTGGGTAAAAAATATTCTAAAGAGAGTTTCAGTGGGGTTTGCAACCCATTTGTTAAAGATGAATAAGGTCACACCTTTTAATCAGTTTGAAAGAAGGGCTGACAGATAACCAGCAAGACGGAAATTTACTAGCCAGATTTCAATGAAAAACCTTTGTATAATTGGTGAACGGGTCTGGAAACGAGCACAGTGATTTAGCAGACATAGCTGACAATGAAGCTCCTTCCCCATACACCTACATATCTTGGGTGATACCTTCTCATTTATGACACACTAAAAATAACTACAGAATTAAACTGAAACTCGAGCCGGACCACTGAATCGTCATCACACAGACCCAACTGATTTTTAAAAACATTAAATGTTTTATATATCACAAAGAACTCCAAAATTTATATAATTTCAGTAAAAATCAAAGTAATTTTTATTGACAGGACCATCCTCTGTTTAACAGACTACCCTGTATCTTCAGCCAGCCACTCCAGAGTCAGAGATCTGCAGTGGGGAGAGAGAAAGTCTGCCCAGCACACTGTGGACCCTGGTTCCCAGTCGGACTGGTGGTGTACAAGAGGGAAAACTGGAAATCCTATCCCAGAAGCGAGCATGGAGAAAGGTCTGGAACTCTGCTAAAGATTGCTGTGGAAATCAGGCATAATTGCTTCAGCAGACAAGTATACGTGTCACAACTTCAGTGGAACTTGGGAGAGGCTGTGACTCATATTTTTCTTCTCCAGCATCTCATATGATGGGTTTAGATGGTGGGTACACCACAAATGCTGTTGACAAAAGTAATGACTTGTCGGTGAAAAAACTGTACCTTCTCAGCAGTGTTATCAGTGGGGTCCCTTTCTACAAATGCAACACAAAAATCATCATTCTTATTGTTGATAACGTGTTCTGATACAGTATCTACAATGGTCAGCCACTAGGAAGTGGAAAAATGACTAATTAGTATCAATTATAAAAAGCCTCTGTTAAATATAGTACAGTGGAAAACTACGAGACAGTGTTCTGAGCCCCAGAAGACACCCACTTTCAATGTGTTAGAGTGATCTGTTTCACACCCCATGTATTAATATTTGGTTTAGTTGCTAAAATCACTAAACATCTTGTTCTTAATATTGTGTCTGTAAAAATGCCCATGTGAGAAAACAGAACTGGTTATAGAGAGATTACATCTTACACGATCACAGAAACACTGTCTGCTTCTGTGAAATCTTACCTGAAAAGCAAATTTCTCTGAACATGAGTTAGGTATAAGCAATAACTAATGGTGAATATTTTTATGTATTCATACACCTTGACTTCAGTTTCTCTGCAATGTCGGGGTCTCATGTGACCTAAACTAGTTGTAGGCAACTGCCCTCGCCAGCTTGCCTCTCAGAACACATTAACTAGCGGAAGAATCCTCCACTGGCTCGAGACCACGTGCCTTTCTCACCTGAGGTGCCTCCGCTCCGGGTAACTGAGGATATAGCACATGTAGGTCAAAGACATCCTTTGCAATGATTGAAACCCACCCCCAACCTCAGCAGCATTTAGAGCATTCCCTCCCTCTCGCCCTCCCTCCACTGCTTTTCTATTTTTCAATATGGGGCACAAAAATCTGAATTTTAGTAAGACAAAACTCTCATGATCCTTAAGGTTCTCCATACAGTATCGTCACATATAAGTGTTCTACTCTTTTTGTCTTTTGCTCCCTTCTTGCTGATTCATGAGAGAGAGGA